TATGACTTATGAGAATTTTGTTTATAAAGATGTCTTTTTGGGGTGGCACCCGTGGCTCAAGCAGGACGTCGGCCCCATATATTGGGGATGGTGGGTTCCAGCCCGGTCCCGGCCAAAACTGCAAAAAGAAAAGGAAAAAAAGGTGTCTTTTTTCATCATGCATGGAGTGTCTTTTGAATTGTGTTTGAGGATATTTTTCATCAAAAATGAAGTCTACATTGTGTGATTGTAAAGAAAAATACCTGCTGGCCAGAGTCCTTTCCGTATGTGTGCACACGTATGTGCATTTCACGTTTACGGTCACGTGTCTCCACATGTCCCTGTGCACACAGGCACACGTGTATGTGCATATGCAAATGTGTCTTCCATGAGAACTATAAATATTAATTCAGTTGTTTTATGTTTTCCTGTTATACATTGGACTAACGCCTTAACTTCATAACCTGAAGTTTAAAAAGCTCTATCACTTCCAAAAATATGTGGTTAATCCATAAATGGTGCGATGAGCGAGGGCTGGACTAGGCAAGGCTGTGAACCAGGCACAGTCGATGCCTGACGCCTCCTCCATCTCCCTACCCATGTCCTCAGGGCCTAGCACAGTGGTTCTCAACCTTCCTGGTGCCACTATGTATTTTCACTGTTACAAAGGGGTCACGATCCACAGGTTGAGAACCACTGGCCTAGTGCCTAGAGCTGCTTTTACCTCCACTGAGGGCCTTACCGCCCTCTCCCTCCCAGACCCTCCCAGACCCACAGGCCCAGCTGGGAGCGCGTGCTCAGGGCTAGTTACTGTGTACAGACACAGGTGCCTCGTGGCCACTCTGTGTGTCATTAGGGCTCCGCCCGTGGCCGTAGTTACTCTGGGAATGTGCTTTCCTGTTACAGCAGCTAGTGACTGAGGAGTCACGAGATACAGGTGCCAATTCTTCCCTAAGGTCACTATGGGTGTTCAGTGGCTCTCCAAGGAGAGTGTTGAAGTGGGGAAAGGGCCCGAACGATTCAAGTTCAGAAGATTTCCAGTTGAGAAACACATCAGAGAAACTGTTTTAGGGGTCTTGGCAAGTTATAGGAAGAGCAATTTCAATCTGAAGCCCAGTTAGCAGAGGATTTTCCTAGGAAGGACAGTTTGATGAGGGAGATGTGCTCTTGCTGATCTTAGAGGGAAAGAAAGGGGGGCCCGAACAGCAAGCCCAGCTTTGCATTGAAAGTGGACTCCACTGTGTCCTTACCCATTGCCTGCAAGACTTTTCACAACTTAATACATTAAGTCTTACCCAGAGAGAGGAATTGCGGAAGATTCTAGTTAAAGCAAAATGGCCTTCTTTAGAAAGAGGCTTTCCCCCTCCCGTTCTGGAAGCTTCTTATTTGTTCCATCAACCCTCCTTGTTACTAAGCTATGGTGTCGAATCTTCACCTTTTTAATGTATTAGTGTTGTTTCTTCCCATAGATTTGAAGGTAAATATATACGGTGGAATTCTCGTGAGTTAGGTAGACCAAGAGTGCTGGTTATAACATATATATATTATGTGCCCAGTTGAGCCATGTGTACTGATTCACTAAATAAGACGTTTTCCTTTCCAGACTGGAAAGAAATACCTGGGTCCTTGCAGAGGAAGAGATTGTGCTGTTTGCCAGTGCTTTCCTGCAAAGGGGTCTCGGGTGAGTGATGTGAACACCCCCAAGGGCAGCACCCCTGAAGTTTGTGAATATTGGACGTTGAGTTGCTGCAGACTATTAGCTTGTTTGGGTTGTTGACAGGGTTTCCATCTTTCCCGATCAAAGTTTTTCAACAGCATTCCCAGTTCTAATAGACTGTGTGTCTGGCTTAGAAGATAGCGCAGGAAGCCGTGCCTCACCCACAGGTCCTGTAAGAACGTCCTTTCTTGCACACTGGGTCACCTTCTTGATAGATCAGCACTTTAAAGGCTCTGAGAAGTACTGCAGTCAGTGGGGGGTGGGGAAACTAACTTTGTTTGGTTTTTCTAGACGTTTGACCACAGGACTCTCTTTTTGGATAGTACCTATTGAAACCTGTGGAATCAGGCCCTCATCAAAGAAATGGCTACATTTCTTGCAGCTTATTTTGTGGCAAGGCAC